CTCTGGGGCACAGGGTGGGATTGTTGGGATGTCTGTGCAGGGCCAGGGGTTGGGCTGGATGATCCTTGTGGGTCCTTTCCCAATTCTGCTGGAGCTGAAGAGTTTTAAGGAGATCTAAAAAGGGAGCAGACTTTGATTCCTGACTGCTCAATAGACACGAGGTGCTCAGAGACCTGAGGGCTTTAAACTGGTGGTGTTTTTTTATGGTTGCTCTGCTTTGGTTTATTTATGACAGCAGAGTCTGGAATTAACAGCCTCAAGCTGGAGGAGGACTGGTTAAATGGGATATTGGGAAGAAATCCTTTACTGTAAGGGGTGGTACTGGGCACAGGTTGCTGTGAGGAAAGGCTTGAAAAATTGGGATTGTTCAGCCTGGACAAGAGAAGGCTTTGGGGTGACCTGATTGTGACCTTCCAGTGCCTGAAGGGAGCTGAGGGACACTCTGAGGGACAGGGTGGGATTGTTGGGGTGTCAGTGCAGGGCCAGGAGCTGGACTGGATGGTCCTCGTGGGTCCCTCCCAGCTCAGGATAAGATTCCAATGGATTTTTGCCTCCTGGGGCAAAAAACCAGCTGGGGCTGTGTGGCTGTGCTGGGGAATGTTTTGGATATTTGGATATTTTGGGTGTAGATCTTTGCAGTGCTGTAATTCTGGGATGGTGGGAGTGGGGCTGTGCAGAGGTGCAGCAGTGTGGCTGTACAATCCCAGCCCTGCTGCTCCCTGTCTCCAGGTAAATGAGCTCTCTCTGCAGATCCTTTTTGTGGGCTCTTATCATTCCTCTGCAGGAATGGCCCCGTGAGCAGGAGGATGTGGAGAATTAAACCCAACAGCAGAGACCAAAGCTGAGACAAAGGGCCCCCTGAGGTCCCTCCCTGAGCCTGGCACGGGGTGACACACAGGGGGTGGATTCTTGGCCAGGCCCATTCATCCCACATCTCCTTATCTGAGGGTTTCTTCCCCTCCTCTTTGCACCTTTTTAGGGGGTGTTTTGTTCATTAAGTGCTTTTGTTTCTCTGCCCTGTGTTTGCTGATGGGTTTGCAGCTCCCAGCTCTTGGCTCAGGGTTTATCGGAACAGCAGCTCAGCTCTCCCAGGCTGGAGTTTTTTTACCTGGGAATTGTGACCTGGTGCCACCACATCACAACCCAGAACCACACCTGACCTTGGCTCTGGGGTGGGCAGAGCTGGGGGGGAGCAGCACTGGGGGCATCACAGAGAAACAGCACCAGCCTGGGGGGATCTTCTGAACCCTCTGCCAGGCTTTTGCTGTGCCCAGTCCAGCAAATTCTGGGATTTTAGCCATTTTTTAACCTCCCACAAGTGCCAGGAGGATCCATTTAGCCCAGCCAAACTTCTCAAGGGTTGAGGCAGTGTGCAGGTTGCTGGAGATTCCTGGGGTGGGGAGGTGATAACTCAGTGAATTTTTAAAGCTTTGTAAATACCTGCCTGTGTTCTGCACCCCCATGTTTGGAGGGTGAGCCCTCAGTGCCCCTTCCAGCCCCTTGGAGCTGTTCCTGCCCATCAGCTGAGCCCAGAGGGAAGCAGGAATTGCAGCAGGATGTTAAGCCTGGCTTTATTCATAAGAGATTTGGTTTTTTCTCACCTCTTGGGTTGTGCAGACACAGCTCTCATGTAAAACTGGGAAATGGAATGGCTTAATGGTTTAAAAGTTTGGGGGGTTTGGTTTTTTGGGGGTTGGTTTTTTATTTTTCATTGTTTTATTTTGTTACCCCTTTCCTGCTGGGTGGGATTTTTTTGCAGGGGATATTTTGGGGTCTGACACAGAATGCAGGCAAGCAAAAAAAATGTGTGTTTTGTGGTTGTGCTCTGCCAGTGCCAAGCTGGAAGTCCAGTTGGCAGGTCTGGGGTGGGAGGGTTTTGGTGGAGAGCAGGACCCTGGTCCTTCAGTGTGACCCCCTTCCCCTGGGACAGCTTGAAAGAGGGGAAGTTTAGATGAGATATTAGGAAGAAATACTTTACTGGGAGGGTGATGAGACACTGGAGACACCTGAGGAAGGTGATGGTCACAGAGCTGGACCCACCACAGAACCTGCCCCCTTCCCTGGTCCCTGCTTTTGTTTATTAGATGCTAATTTAAGCATCAGTTTACCCTGGTTTTGTGCAACAATTAAAGGTTAAACAACTGTAAATCAGGGGGGGAGGTGAAATTAAAGCTTTCTTGGTAGCAGGACTCACTTGCAGGATTTTTATGTAATCAGGGTACTTCTGGCATGAATTATTCATCCCCATAGCAAACCTTCCTGAGTGAATTAATTTATATACATGGCAGTAAATAGATGCAGATCCCTTGTGAATCCACATGTCAGACTAGAATTAGGACCTTAAAAATGTTTATTCCGTTAAGTTGGGGGTTGGGGGGGGGTGGAGAGGAGAATAAATAATTTAGGAAATGTAAGAGCAAACAAAATGCTCCTTCTCAATCCACTTTCAATAATGGAAATCACAATAGGGGTGTAATGAGGCAGGAAGGGAGGGATTGGCTTGGTCAGTGTGAGCAGTGATGGCTCTGTGGGGGTCACTGCAATTCCTGCCAGATGAACTCCACTTACTTTCTGCTAAAAAAATCCTTTGGAGGAACTTTAGAGCCTGTTCTATTGTGGAGAAGAAATCAAGGAGGAAGAAAGGTTAAAGTGGCCGAAATAATGGGGTTTGATTTGATTTTTTTTTATTATTTAAATGGGTGTGTTGCATTTGCTGTTTAGAGGGGCAGAGGCAAGTGGGGGTTTGGGGTGGATGGAATAAGACTGGGGGGGAAAAGGGAGTTTTTTCCATGGAAAAAAACATGGAATAATAAGACTGTGGGGAAACAGGGAGGGTGTTCCCAGGGTTGTGTCCCACATGTGTGGAGCTGAGGTTTGAGGGCACTGAGCTCCCCTCCCTGCTCTGTGCTGCCAGGATCCAGCTGAATTCCATTAGGATTGGTAGGAATTCTTCACCCAGAGAGATCTGAAAGAGCTGAGGCTCTGCAGAAGAGGGAAATCTCACCCAAATGACCAAAGTTCCAGCCGAGTTGTACAAGTCATTTATGCTCCTGGTTTGTCTTTTTTTAGGGTTTTGGTCTCCCAGTTTGATTTGAGGTGCCCAGTGTTTGAAAATCTCATCAAGAGCTCACAGATTAAAGCTGGTTTCTCCCAAACACCTTTGGCTTCCTCTCAGCTCTGCTGCCCTCACTCTCTCAGCCAGTTCCCCAAACTTGATTTTGTGTTTTTAGTGGGACACTGAATGCTTTGAAACCCCTGTGTTTAAGGAATAAAGACAAAATCCCTTTTAATGGTAATCGTGGCAGACAAATCCGGGCCATTACACGGAGCTCTTTGCCCCGGGGATGAGCTGCTTTTGGGTGTAAATGCAGATTTCTCAGCTCGTTTGAGGATCGTGTTGATGTTCTCACTAATGGAGTCAAGTGACTTCCTAAAGCCTCCAAACCTTATGGGCCGTGGCAGGGAAAGGTGAAATTTGAAAATGCAGCTCGAGTGGTTCAACTAAAAGCAAACGAGGCAAAGGCAGAAACTTGATTGGATTTAAAAAAAAAAAAAAAAATCCCGTTGTTTAATGTGGGGGTTTTTTTTGTTTCCTTTTAGCTCGTGGGTTGCTGGTGGTTGCTTTGGTTTGAAAGGGTTGAAAGTCTTCAGGGATTTCTCAAAACAAGGGGGGGGGGAAAGGCTGGGATTCTCAGCAGCTGTAAATGAGCTGTGCAGTTGCAGGAGCTCTCTCTTTGTGGGAGCAGCAGAAAACAGCATTCCTGACACAGAGTCTGGAGTTGGAGGGGAAAAAATAGCTGCCCAGATAAGGCAGGAGGCCTCCAAGTTAAATAGGATAAATAAGGGTGTGTGGCAACTTGATTAGTGACCCTTTAACCAGATTAATTTAATTTATTACCATTAGTGCAAGAACTGGCCTGTTATTTTTTGGGGGGGTTTTTTTGTCTTTTCTTTCCCTGCAGATCCAGGTGATCAGTTTTGTCACTGAGCAGAACTGGGATTCCCTGGAAGTGTTTGATGGAGGGGATAACACGGCCACCATGCTGGGGAGTTTCTCTGGTAGGTGCTCAGCACCCCCCTGGGCCCAGCCCAGCATTTCACCTCCTAAAACTTAAACTTGTGCTTTAAGTGCTTCAAAAACCCAGCACAGATTTAAGGCTGGGCCCGTTGGGTTGGGAATTGGAACTGTCTTCCTGTGGGAAACACTGACAGGGAGCCCCCAACACAATCCCAGTGGGGTTTGTTCCACAGCCCGGGACTGGGAATTCCCACAGTGCTGGTGGGTTGTGTGGGGTGAGCTCAGACACCTCACCTGCACCAAAAGGTGGGAAGGGCTACAAAACAACTCTGGTTTTTTGCCTCTCCGTGGGGAACTGTGGCTTTTGGCAGAGCAGGGAGGAGCCAGAGCTTTGGGAAGCTTTCAGATGCAGAACAACAACCCCAGTTCTTGCTGGTTTAAGACCCAAATGTGCTCCAGGTGCTTTGGGGTGGGGAGGAGAAGGGAGGCTGGGGTAGAGCTTCCAGGGGATGAGGCAGGAGAAGGAGTGTGGACTTCCCTGAGCTCCTCCCATGCTGTTCCTCATCCCCCCTTCCCTTCTTGATGCTTTTTGCCTGCCCCGTGGTGAGACTTCACAGGCCAAAATTCAGCAGCTGCCGTTGGAAAGGCCATTGCAGAGGGGCCCTGGGTATTCCTCACTTGGCCTCATTAGAACCTGATCAAAACCAGGGGAGCTTGTTAAGTTTAAAGGACTTTTCTGTTCTCAGCCTCTCCTGCCTCAAATCTCCGAGGACACGGAGGAGGAGGAGGAGAAAAATCCTCTTCACTGTCTTTGTGCCCCTCTTGTTTTCCCAGGGACTACAGTGCCTGCTCTGCTCAACAGCACTTCAAACCAGCTCTATCTGCATTTCTACTCGGATATCAGTGTCTCTGCTGCCGGCTTCCACCTGGAATACAAAAGTAAGAGCAGCTCAGCCTTGATCTCCCAGTTCCTCTGAGTGCTGGGGAGACAATTACGGAGCTGCTGCTGCCACCTCCGAGCTGGGGAAGGGGCTGCTGGGGCTCCCCTGCTCTCCAGCTGCAGGGAGGGGGGTGTTAAACAGAGAACAGATGCAGCAGAGGAGATGTGGGGTCACAGGCTGACCCTGATGCTCTTGGTAGCCCTGTTTGTTGCTGTGTGGGAGCACAGGAGGAGGAGATGTGGAGGTAGAAGTATTAAAAATTCATGGAGAGTTGGTGTGTCCAGCACAGGGCTGTGATCTTTGCTTGGGAGGTGCCTGAAAAGCCAGAGGCTGGGAATGCCTGCCTGCTCTTTACATTCAGTGTTGGTCACTGCTGGAAAGAATGTGCAGGGCTGGACATGTCCTCTCCCGAAAATCCTGGGTGGGAGGGCCCTCAGAGGTCATGGAAGGTGTCCCTGCCCGTGGCAGGGGGGGAATGGGATGAGCTTTAAGGTCCCTCCCAACCCAAACCAGTCTGGGATGCTGTGAATGTCACAGCTGAGCCTGTGCTTTAGAGGCCAGCAAGTACTGACTCTTCCAGCTTTTACAGGCTTTGCAGATTGAAACCTTGTCAATTATTGAACCCAGCAAGATTACAGCAACCAGCAAGGCTGGGGACTGGGAGCTGCACAAATGGATGTTGGGTCAGACATTCCCTCGTTCCCTCTCCATCTCCCTTCCAATCAATAAGTTCTCTGAGCACCGAATTCCCCCACTGCAACAATCCTGGGCAGGTTTTTTCATCAGGCTGGGGGATTATCAGGCTTGCTCGTTTCCTTGGCTGAGGAAATGAATAGGTGTTGATTTTTGGGGCAGCTGGAAATGACATGGTTTTCTTGGCAGAATTTCAGAGCCCCCGAGCCCCAGGTTTTGCCTCTGCAAGGAAGTTTGGAGAGATGAGCTAAAGCACCAGAGTTTTCCTCCCTTTTCTCCCTCACTGGGTTGCTGGAGCAAAGCTCTTATCTCCACATGCTCCACAAGCCAGAGCAGAGCAAGAACAATTTAGGGCTGAGTGGAACTCGGTGCCCACTGATCTGAAGGGGAAGTTATTTAAAGCCATTTTCTCTCTCCTGCCTCTCTGAAGGTCGAGCAGTACATCCATGTGCGGGGAGGGAACACATGTTTCCTTGCTGGGAAGCGTGACTGGGCTTTCAGGAGGAGACTCAGCCTCTCTCCCTCTCTCCTTTCTCTTTTATTTCCCCTCTGCTGTGGCTCGGTGGGGTTGGAGCAGAGCATCAGCCCTTGCAGTGATGCAGAAGGTTATCTTGTAGTGGCAGCTGCCAGCACAGAGAGCGAGGGAGGTGCTGGAAGCGGGTGTGAGGTGCCTTCAGGCTTCATTTTATCTCCCTTTGGTGTTTGGGAGGGAAGGGGAGATGAGGGAAGGAGAGACGTGTAAAGGAGAGACGTGTAAAGGAGAGCTCAGGGGCTGTTAATTGGGTTTGCAGCAGGATATTCCCAGTTGTAAATGTAGCTGGGATGGAAGTGGGATTGAATGAAATCTCGTAGGCTGTTCTGCAGGCACCAGCAAGGACCAGCCCTGCTTGTGGCTCCTGGTAAATTCAGGCTGTGATGGGAAACGGGAGGGAAAGGGTCGGAGATGGGAACTGTGCGGCTTCTGCCCAGAAAGGGGCAAATGACAACACATTCCGTGTGCCCCTGATCTCCTGCATCCTCTCCCATCCCTCTCAGGTGCTGCCTGGCTGCCAGAGGCACACACAGTTCCAGGTGTGGTGGGTGTTTGATTTCAGGTTGTCCCAGGTCCAGCTCCTCCATCACCGGGGTTCACTCGGGATGGGTTTGGCCACGAATCACCAAGTGACTGGTGATACATTTGTGCAGGAAAAGAAATGTGTGTTCCAGGGAATGAATACCTGTGGATCCTGGATGTGCCCTGTGACATGGGAATGCTGCACAGCCAGGGCTGTCCATGGAGAATCCAAAGGCCACGGGACTTTGGGGAGAATCCAAACCCCCCCGCGCTGGTGGCGGTTGGTAAACGGGGGAATGGGGTGAAATGGAGACGTGTGTTCCCATTGCTCCTGCCTCCAGCACAGATGCCATCCCTGCTCCCAGGAGCACTCATCCCTCTTCCCTCCACAGCCGTGGGTCTGTCCAGCTGCCCGGAGCCCCCCGTTCCTGGGAACGGCCTGAAGATCGGGGAGCGCTACTTGGTGAACGACGTCGTGTCCTTCCAGTGCGAGCCGGGCTACGCCCTGCAGGTATGGCCAGTGCCCAGCCAAAGGGTGCCCACAAACACCTGGAACAGTGGGAGATCCAACCCTGTGTCCTGTTTTCCTCCCCTGCAGGGTCACTCCCACATTTCCTGCATGCCGGGCACCGTCCGCCGCTGGAATTACCCTCCGCCGCTCTGCATCGGTAGGGCTCGTGTCCTCTCCTGACATATTTATAGCACTTTCCTTAAAAAAAAAATACAAGTGAAAGGGGCTGATTTAGAGAAATTCAGGTTTGTTCTGAGTGTGGAAAAATCCTCATTTGTTGCCAGGGAAATTGCAACCCAGAAGTCCCCGGGGGCTGCCCGGAGTGCTTTGTTTTGAATGTTTAAAATGTGGCCGTAGCAGAAGATGGGAAATAACAAAATAATCTTCCTCAACACACAAAACCGTTCAAAAGGGGAAACCTAAAATTCCTTTGAGCTGGAAGCAGGTTGGTTTTCACAGGTTGAGGATTTTTTTTTCCCATCTGAAGACCGTGGTCTGTTTTTTTATGAAGTGCATCTTGATGCCACTAAAGCTGCTTCTTTCCCTGGAGCCTGTTATCTCCCAGTATCCCAACTGCACCTCGGGTGCCTTGTTCCCACCCTGGAGTCCAGCAGGTCCTGTGTGACCATTTGTGACCACAGGTCACTTGTCAAGGTGGGTGTTTGCCCCTGACACTGTTGAGAAGAGAAAAGGGCTGGGCAGTCCCTTTCCACCATGGAACAAGTGATCCCAAAGAGAAGAGGGACAGAGGTGCAGGGAACTTGCTGGAGCTTTTTTGATTATTTTCAGTCTTTTGCTTTTAGCAAATCTAGATGTTTAATATTCATGTTGCACATTTTGCAGCTCTGAGAGAGACATTTATGCATTTAATAGCTTTAGTTAACAGTTATTTCAGGCTCCTGCTGTTCTAGCTTACATCATTTTGCTTTAAAGTAATTATAAGAGCTAACAGTTCTTTTATCTGATGATCTGCAGGCCAGGAATAAATAGAGAGACATTTACAGGAGAATGACTGAGCTAAAGGACCCACACCCTTGGGAGCTGCTCTGAAAGAAATCAGAAGCCCTTCGGCTCAGCTCTAGAGCTGGGAGATCCCAGCATGGAGGAGGATCCAAATATTCCCATCTGGCTGAGGAACTACAAGTTTTCTTCTCTTAATCAGCACCAGTCCCTCAGTTCAGCAGGAATTTTTGCCTGCTTGGGCTGTGCCTCCGAGGCACTGTTGGGGTCTTCAGCTGTGCCAGGGGAGG